TGTGTGCCAATGGGCACATAAAGATAAAACAACTGCATGTCAATATGATCTAATGTCACAAATCAACCTCTCTCACTAGTTTTGGGTCAGAGAGCAAGAGAGCAAGTCCTGTTGGGAGTCTGACATGAATATGGGAATCTGACGTGAACAATGTCCTTTTTCACCCATCAAAAGGATCATCACAACAGCATGAAACTTACTTGCAGAAATGAGATTACTAAACAATAATTGCAAACTCTCATGTATTATAATTAGAATTATTTTATTTTATTTTATTTCAAACATGGTCTTTGCTAAAGTTTCCACTCAATCTGTCTTCCCATCTCCTGTGCTATATTCCATGCCTCTCTGTCCTTTCTTGAGGCGTTGATTCGTGCACTTAACCCACACTCTTCATCCCTTGCCTCACCATTTCCTTCCTGTGGGCTTTACTTTAGGCCTCTGTCACCAGAGCCGGGCTGACAATCTTACTTTCTCACATAGCCGTTTAGAAAATCTCCCCATAGTATCCTCTGCATTTACCTACTGTATCATAGTCGTACCATACTGCATCAGGAATATATGCTTGAATTGTGTCCACACCCTGAAAGGTGAACAAACAAATGACTTTCATATTTGAAGGTAACTTAATCAAATAAAATAAATTTTCCAATAAAACTAAAGTTCATATTGAGAAAATCATTGATACTTCTCCTCTTCGCTGTTTTCTTTAATGGTTTTTATGATCATGCCCAGAAAGACAAACAGCAATCTAAGAAGAATTTCTGCAAGGCTACTGGAAGACAACTGCATCACGGCTCTACAACGCGGCAGCTCATTGTATGCAACCCAAAGTCACAACGCTTCAAATCCGGTGGCTCAGATCACATCCACAAGTATCTCTATATCTTCTTTATTTTCACATTTTTCTGGGCTGGCATCTTTCAGATTCTTGTTTTCATTTTATGTATTTAACAAATGTTTTGTGTTTCTCCATGGCATATGTGTTACTGGCATTAACAATCATTATTTACAAGATTCTGCCACAGAATAAGCCACGATCTATTTGTTTTCTTGTTGCGTCTTAACCAAGCTGAAATGCAGCAAGAGAAGCTGATTCCGAATGAAATGCAGAGATGATACAAAGTTGAGGTGAATCAGAATATCAGACCAAATGACTTTGACTCCCTAGAGGACCGGAAAATCGGGGTGGGATTTAATAGCACAAAGTGCAAGATTTTCCATTTTGGCAGTGATAAAAATATGCTGTGGGCTCTCTCACTGGAAGCAATAAATGAAGGAGGAAAAAAAAAATAGAAAAAAGAAGCAAAACCTAAGCTTGTTAAGAATCCGTCAACAGCCATAAGTCAGTAATGTGATGTACCCATGAAAAAATAAATGTAATCTAAGGATCTAGCAAAAAACATGTTTGCCCTGGAGATAGAGCTGTGTTAATGCTAATAAACAAGGCCCTCTGCAATGTTTTTGCAAATAGAGTTTACAGGACTAGTCAAGACAGAAGAGTTCAGACTAGAATAGGACCAGAGCAAATTTCCTGGGATCCTCAGGGAAATGGCGGAGCCTATTTTTGCGGTTTAGCTTGTTCAGCATAAAAAAGGAGGGAGAGTGTGATTTCAGCA